AAGTAATTTTTGTATACCTACATTTATATATGTTAAAAAAAGTTTTACTGATGGAAGATCAATATTTTAACTGGTGCCAAGTTACAAAGGAAATTACGCTGGAGTACTTTGGCGATGGAGAATCCTAATTTTCTCTAGGAGTGTTTATGTTTGTTGTTTGAAAAGTAGGAGCGGTACGTTTTAATACTAATCGATATAAAGGGGATGTTTGGCGCGATTAGAAAGCTCTTGGAGTCAACGTTCTTATTTTTCCTTGACCCACCTGCGACAGCTGTATGTCTGAGAAAAGTCGTAAATAAAAATAGTACATGTAGGTATTATATGAACATCCTAAGTATTCATGTGTTAAATTCCTGCTTAATTTATAGTAGAATCGTTAATGTCTTTGGGTTTTTGTAGCTGCCCCAAAAAAGTACGCAGGTACTTATGAGCCTGTAAAGTAATGGCTCTTTGGAGGATTCTAATTTATTGGCGGTTGCCGGAAAATGAGTAAAACTAACGAATTGTTTAATTTATTTTTGGTACTTGTTGTTTTTATTGTCGCTGACATTTTTTTTTTTTGGTTACAGGCTACGAAAATCAAGATTGGTTCATCCCAACTCCTGCATTACAAGTCGAGGACATTGATCTAAAGCTATCTCCGGATCAAATCCGGGAAACTTTGAACTATTTTCGTAAGTCTTTTGCTTTTCTTCTTTCATTAACTTTTCCATTTGAAGTATAGGTTTTATTACCAAAAATTGCATTTACTTTCCAAAATAATTCTACTCTCATAAGGTTTTGGTTTCTGATTTGAAGTTTTAGAAGATCAGGGAAGATTACGTCAATTAATTGTAGGTTTTATCTTTTTAAATTAGGGATTTCTTGCTTGAAATATTTGTGAGTTGCTTCCTTTCCATTTTTTTTGTCGATTACTGTAGATATTTATCCAGTTATTTCTCTACTTGATAAGATAACCTTTATCGTATTTTTGGAGACTATACTTTTTGTGCTTAAGTATGAATTAAGAGTTAATTCAGTTGAAAGTTGAAACATTCATCAGTTACAATCGGTTATTAATCGTGATGACGTGTTTAATTCGAAAACGTGTGCAAAACTGAGAACGAAAATGGTAAGTGTATATATATTCAGTTGTTCACCCGTCAATTGTTTTAAAAAGGAAAAACGACCGGATACGTGAAAGAAATCCGTGTTTGGTTGATCGAACAAATTAGTCGATAGATTCAGACAACAGCAAAAGTCAGTATATTATTGGGTAACATTGTTTTTCCTAAAGTGTGGAAATTGAATTCTTACAACTAAACAAAAAAGTTTTCGCCAGTTTAGTGGTAGATTTAGTGGAACCAATTTCAGGGTCATCATCAAAACTAACGCACTTTTTTAATAGCATTAGGCCTTGATGTCAGGCGCAAACAACTTAAACTAATATAGGGCGCCTGAAGGACTATCATCGTTGAATTTGCGCGAAGAATGACAGTTTGGGTTTTTGGAACTAAAATTCATGTCTCCTATTTCGTTAATTTTTGTTACTGTTGTTTACTAAGTTAATTATTTTTATATTTGTTTGATTTTTGAGCGTTAATAACACAAGTAAAAACATATTGAACATATTGGTCATTAAATATGTATTAAAATTAGTTGGTCATATATTTTGTTAATTTACTTTTAAATAGGTTTCGCAAAAGAATTGTATTTTTAAATACATATCTATTAACTAAAACTGTAAAACGAATTTGGTATTTTTGACGAATGCGAGCCTACAATTAACGTATTACGTAAGAAATTAAGTTGTAATACAGTTACGGTTTTGTGATAAAAGAAAAATGCGATTTGTGTACCGTATTATTACTCATTAAAATATCTCAATTAGACTGAATGTACAAGCATTTACAATCATGTATTATACAATTTGCATTCGCGCAGCAGCAACTTATCAATTGGAAAAGGTTTTTATTAGGGGAAAGTTGACTATTTCTGTTCTATTGTTCGGCCAAGTTCCTTGTTTATATGCAAATAATAAATTTCTAGGTAATGGACTTTTTCACTCCTGCTTTACAATTCATGCTTTATTTTCTCATAAAAATAGAAATACTATGCAAGGGAAAAAAGTTTGCGGCATCAACAATTCTTTTCCCATGTCGTTTATATTCATTGTTAGATTACAATCAGTTAGAAAACTCCGTTATCATTTGCTTGTAATCAAGAGAAGTAAAAAGTGACAAGCCTTTTTTCTTCCGTTCCCATGTGTACTCTATTTGATGAAGAAAGGCCAGTTTCACGTACTTTTGTCTAGTTTTCTTGGGAACTATCACTGTTCGATTTTTATTAGTTTCAGTTTTTTGTCTCTCCTTAGAGTATGTAATTTATTCCAACTTAATTACCTTGGTAGGCACACATTGTTGTAAACATAAGTACGACAACACGCACTTCGTTCGTATTTTCGTTACCTTATGCCTTAAGGTTCTAAGTAATAAAAACAATTACTCTATTAGGTTAGGATTATAAGGTTATGAAAGAAAAAGGCAACACCAACGAAGTGGTATAACAAGCATTGGTTGTTATTAGTTCTTACTATTGACAATACAGAAAAGAGTTTGAAGATGGATCAAGTCAAAATTGATCGCGATTTTAAAATAAATTCGGTTGAATTATATTTTTGTTTTTCTAATATTGGAATCTCATTTTGGCATAAAATTAGTGTCTGATTTACAATTAATAGGATAATTTATAATCAGCGCTGATGGACCCGTTGAAAAAATTATCATATTTTTTGTCTTGATTTACATGTTTATTATAAAGTTGAGTATTTTTATTAATAGAAACTCCTCACGTGGGCAAAGTGGATAGAATACAAAAAAAAGTTGTATATTTATCGAAAAACGGAAAAATATAAAAAAATATTAAAAAGGGGGACGTTAATACTTAACTTCGTCTTATTTTTCTGTTGATAATTAATTAGGTCACCGTGCTACGTGAGTAGATACATGCAATTAACAAAAAAACATTGTTGTTGTTTGTATAACATCGTTCTAATTTATTAGCAGGATTCTTAATCTCTATTTACTAGTATTCTGTATTTTTTATTTCAATTTTAGAACGTCGTGACATTTTACGGTAAAGTCCCTACCTATAAAAGGCTTGTAGTTTAAGTGCAGTAATACTGCTCAAGTTTTCAAAAATATTGCAATATTTACAACCAGCGCGGCACATTAAGTTTGTTTTGCTATTTTATTACATACAATGTGTTTGTATATGAAAAGTCGATTTATTTATACCTTCGATTTGATAAAGTGATATTTTATTTATCTCACGATCAGTAATTCGTACTGATAATAGCACTAGTGTGTGCGAAATATATTGTGTAGTATCACTTTGATTTTATGGAAGTACACATCGTTATATATATTAGCATTGGCAGGCGATCTAGGCTTTCATCTATGGGTAGAGGTAAAATTTTTTTTACAACTTAACAGTTGAGGATGGCCGCGAGTTCCGAAACTTTTTTGTCATTCATTGTTTTATTGCCGGAATCTTTATATAGATAGCGTTATTCATCGTGAATAATTAATAACTTCAAATTAATTATTTAAGAATCATAAAGGTGGGTGTAATACTCACAATTTTTTCTTACAGTTCTATGCAGTAACCGTGTAAGCCAAATGACAAAGACTTACGATGACATAGAAGCAGTCACAAGGCTTCTTGAAGAGGTAAGTGCTAGATAATGTCTTTTTTCTAGTTTTCAGTTAACGTGTAACATTAGAAATGGTAACATCATGGTGCCTTTAGTTTTTGTATAATGTTTAAATAATTGGTTATAGTGTCCAAGTTCTTATAAAATTGACAACGGTTTATTGATATTTATTATTAGACGAATGTGCGATAAATAATTGTAATTATTATTTATGTAATGTTATTCGAATAGTCATTTCAAGAGCCACTTCCTGGAGAACACTTTTTTAAAAATGTTTTTCTTAATCGTTTTTTTTTCTTTCTTTATCATAATATCTAAATAGTATAAATTTTTGTTTGTCATATGTGCTAATCGCTAAAGAATGCTTGATAATGAAAAGGATAAATTAAACGTGACAGATAAAAGCATAGGCACTCTTTTCCAGATAACTTTATTTTTCTTGTTTTGAGGGCTTTTCATGGTTTTTAACCCCTCGGCAAGGTCAAATTTTGTAACAGTCGCAATTTGCGCTTTAAAATGTCTATGTTTACCTGTATAAAGTAACAGCTAAATGTTTGTTAAATATTAAAATCGGTAACGTGTATACCTGTAGTCTGTAGTCGTTAACTTACATTGGGATTAGCGAAAATGTCGTTTAATGCTTTTTTTATCTATATAAATGAATGATAGTGTTTTAGGCATTTTCTACTTGACGATATCGCAAAAATTATATTTATTCCAGAAAGAAAAAGATTTGGAATTAACTGCGCGTATTGGTAAAGAATTATTGCAACAGAATACAAAACTCGAAAAAACTGTAGAAACTTTAGAAGCGGACTTGAAATCGGCAAATGAAAAAATAACACAGCTCAGCCATGAAATCGTTAAAAAAACCGAACTCATTCAGATCCTTACTAACGACATGGATGAATCATGTCTGGAAAATGGAATGGCAATTGGGAAGATAAATTTGGATCTATTGCAGAAAAGGATAGGTACATATTGACGATCTTGTTTTACTAAAATAAATAGGTGCATGGTACGCATCATAGGTGCGGACAAACCGTCATTAAAAGTTTCGTAACTATTGCTAGACGTGCCATCATTTCTTTCAGTTTCTTTTTTTTCAGTTCCTTAAGAAAATATCCGTGAATATTTTTGGATTGTAAACAACCGCATGCAAACTTTATAAAGTTAATTTATAACGTAATTGTAAAGTTAAATTCCCTTGGCTTATGGAAATTTTAAAATTTTGTCCTCACGAGTCGAAGTCACATTGTATACTTAGTTGGTTCATACTACGTAGTTGTGATCTAATTTGTCAAGTTGCAATTGAGGTTTCAGTTGCTAAATATATGTCGTTGGAGTACGCGTGCCATTTGCAAAATAACATTAGTATCACTTAGCCGGGTCTTTTTTAACGACACCGTTGTAATAGATTTGCAATAGCGCCGTTAAATTTGTATAACGACAATTTTTTTATGAACAGGATCCTTAGAAGATGAAAACAAAGCACTGAAGAGCGAATACTGTCGTTTAGCAGACGATACAGACGACATTGAAGCAAGGGAGAGACAGCTAGTGAACGATATTACGGGACAGCTAGGTAAGTAATTTAGTTTTTGACGGTTTATTGATATTTATTTGTGACAAATTTACATTTAGCCTGCGCAAACTCCAGTATGACTCTACTGGAAGATGAACTGGATCGTCAAAAAGACGAGAATCGTCAACAGCACGAACAAATTTTGGCGTTGACGGCCAAACTTGAGGACACCGAAATGCGTTTGCACAAAATAATGACCGAACATGAAGAAGCCACTACTCTACTGCAATTAACTCGAGACACTCAGAACAGTTTGGCCCTGGAACTGGCCGATTTCAAGTCTCGTTACCTGGAAGTCGAAGCACTTCTTCGTGAAACTCAAGAACAATTAAAAAAAGCCAGAAGGCGATACATGCCATCAGTGAGAAGCTCTTTCTTCCCTTCGTTGGGCTCCACAAACCAATCTGTACCATTCGATAGTTTACAAAGTGAACTGGAGATGTCGATGCATTCAGAACTTAGTGCAGATTCCGGCTTTTCGTCTGGAGAGCCAGTGTAAGTTGGAGCATCAAAGAAGTTGCTTGTAATTTTTGAGTAATTACGAGTTGTTTTTTTCCGTTGCAGACCATACTTTAAAAAAGTTTTTGAAACGGTTCGATGCGCTTCACAAAACTCCATGAGCAGTGCCGATAGTATGAGTAATTACAGTATGATGGGTGTAGGGGGTTGTGTTACGTCGAGTGGAGGGGCGCGTATGAGTGTGAAACCCCAGGATCCACTTAGACGATCTTCGGGATCTATTTATAGCAGTAGTTCCTTAGGCTATCCCAGTTTGGACTCCACTGGACAGTCTGATAACGAATATGGCAGTCAGACTGACTCTGAAGAATGTTATCCGTAAGTTCACACTATCATTTTTAATAACGTTAATTACTTTTTATGTTGTTATTTTTAGAGGGCCACCACAGAAAGGAGTTCCTGGTGTTCCCGGTGCAACCGAACTGGAAGCTGCTTTAAAACGACTTACCCCCGCTGAAGTGGCTGCCAGAAGGATCAATCTCCAACATGGAACTGCATTTAGTGGGTAGGCTATTGTAAACGCTTTAAGTGTGCGTTTACGTGTGAATGATTTGATTAATTGCATGGGGCATGTAATATTATTTCAAATTTAATAAACCTTCTGAATGTTGACTGATGATTGATCGATGTGAACGAGACGCAGCATGCATTCACTGTGGTGTAAGTTGGATGGGGTTGTAACGGGATATTAATAGTCGGTAACATAGTTTAATGCATGTAATGTAATGGGTATTTGTTGTTGGTGTTATATTTGGGTTGATTTGTAATTTTATTGGATTTGGTTTTTTTCTATTATTGTTACAGTTACGAGAGCGATCCTTGCCTTCCTTACGGCTGTCGTACTCCTGACAGCCTTATGTCTACAGGCTCTGGTAACTACCACGGATGGAGGTTGCCCGAGAAACTACAGATAGTCAAACCTATGGAGGGCTCGCTTACGTTGCACCAATGGTCGCAACTGGCCCAGCCCACATTCAGTGGCCTTCTCGAAGAAAGACCAGGAGTTAAAATTAGGTAAGAGCCATGTTTGCTTTTATTTTTGCATTTCTACTTAGTTTATTCTGCTTTGTTATTTACAGGGGAGGAAAAGAATTGGAAGACATGGGAGTGGAGTCGTATGTTTTAAGTGATTTGGAGGAAGATGAAGAGTACTCTAATCCTGGCAAAGGGTTCGAATCATCCGCACCTATTTACACCCTTACCAATAGTACTGTTATGCATCCTGATGACGGTACTTTTGTAACCCCAAGTGAGCGTGGCAGTCGTATGACTTCGGTATGTTCGAGTATACAAAATTCACCCCCACAAACCCCTCTGGTGCGGAGCAGAAGAAATTCAACGTCAACATTCTCCACCACCCTGGGACTTGCCAAAATGCTCAACGAAAGGGGTACGTACTTTTTATCGTATTTTCTTATTACGATCTTACTGTTATTTATTTTCATTTTAGGAATCAAGGCTGTGACCCCGTCGGCTGTGGCGACACCTTGTGGGCCAAATAGCTTTACGCCGACCGCGACCCCTTGCAATAGTCCTGATGGGTCCCCTTTGCGCAGCGGGTCACCTGAACCCGACGCCGAACATTTCAGTATTCCGCAACTCATCTTTAGCTCAGTTCCTGCTTTTCTTCAACAGACCGTCGGCGGTGGTGCCATCAAAAAGACTTCCTTATCCAAAAGGAGACTTTCCAAGTCGGGAACGAATGAGGTAAGATTTACCTAATTAAGTTTGTGTATTTTTAATCTTACTTATTTGTTTTCCTCTTCGTAATTATGTAGTATTTTGTGTAGTTGTTAAGGTAAGTTTTTTTATTACACAGTGATGTTATGTTACCTTCTTTTTACACCTTTTTAATAATGTTTACAGCACCACTTTTTCTTTTCAAATTCTGGTAAAAGGTACATTTTTGGATGATTTTTGATTTTACAGATATCACGAAACGATGCCAATGAATAGTGTCTCGTATGGATTGGGAAACCAGCTACATTTACGTTTTATTGGCTTGTAATGCATGCTGCTTTTGTATATTTTGTAATTTGTATTATTATTATTATTATTAACAAAATAATAGTAGAAGGTGTTTTTATTTATCACTTACGTTTCGTGTGTTGTCTTGTTTGGTTATGAAAGAATTTAAAATCTTTATATATTTAGGTACTTTTGAATATGAATTGCAAAAACTATTTGGAGGAAAATTGAGTATTTTAATCTTAATTAGACGAAAAGTAATTATTTATAATGAAAAGCAATGGAAATATAAAATTTATACTAACGTTGCTGAAAAATTAGTTTGTCTTGTAGTAGACCCGAATTTTTTGCTAATAAAAAAATAAAACAATAAGATAACATTATCGTTTGCGATATCAATCATTCAGAAACATTTTTACGGTCTATTGTAATGTAGTAGCAAAGGTTTTCTGGTATTAGTATTATCTTGAATTCTCTAAAACAGATTTAAAAGAAAATTTTAAGCGTAGAGAGGACTGTAGACAGTTGTATCGATTTTAGTTATAATTTTTATGTAAGTAATTGAGTAAATAATATTGGAAGTGATAATAAAATATGCACTTTCCACGCCTCTCACCCGTACAGAGCTTTATTCCAAACATTCACTTTTAACAGTCTACTTGGTGTTTTCAAATTAACCGTTCGCAAATAAAATAGTTAACAAAGCTAGATTTATATTATATGTTTTCATTGGCAGTTTCTTTAGAATAGCAGATGGATCGAAACGGCAGAAAATGGAGTATTATTTCATTTAAATTGTAAATCAAAATATATAAAAAACTTCTAAATTTAAAAACATTTTCTTTGCATTTTCAGGGATTGGTTGGTAGAATTGAAAGAATAGGAATAAGTAATTTAATGGGTGCTCCGAACGCATTATCCATTTCTGCAGCCATGTATGCCAGACCTGCCCTTACCAGTCCTATGGCCCAATTGACCTGTTTATTACCAAGCAATAACCCCGTACAAAAAGAAAAAGAAGCGCTTAAAAATGAGGACGTTCATCCTCAGACATCAGGTAAGAAAACAAAACAATTTTCTTTAGTTTAGTCGTCCTGTCTATGCATAAAAACTAGAAAGCTGAATTTTCTCATTATAAGAGAACCGCTCAATTAATGTTCTTCTCTCTTTTGGTTTAGCAAAACCCCCAACTGGTCTAGGCGTTCCTGCCAAGCCTGGAAGTGGAGCTTTAAATAGCAGATTAGAACAGTTAAATAGTAGAAGACAGAGAAGACAAGGCACCGTGGGGATGACAAGGCCGGATTTGGGAACTGTGACAACTAATAAAAAACCAGCACAAACAGAGCAGTCTTTTGTGGGCACACTAAGTTCATTGTTGTTTGGAAGAAAGGGGGGATTATTCTAAACTAAAATATGTCGTATTTTCAGAATATTTATTGTTGCATTTTCTAGTTTTCCTCATGTTGATTTGGTCGTGTATTCAAACTTTTAGCTAAAGGCTATGACGAGCATTTTTTGTTATTTTTATACAATAACAAAATAATTACTCACCAAAGGTCTTTTTTGCGGTATATAATGAACAGGTCTATTTCAGTCTTTGGTTATGCTTCCTTTGTCTTTGTCCGGATTTTTTTCGCAATTTTATTATAATTTGTTTAAGCCTTTACTCTTTCCTCCCTTAATTTTATTTTAATTTTACGGCAAATTGTATATAATTTTTAAGTTTATTGCAACGAATTGTTTGATATCAGTCAGTTTGTTACGTAATTAAGTAAGAAAATAAATGAACTGTAGCAGTCCTCCACTTAGAGAAAAAGCATTTGTTCATTATGCACATTTTTAAAAGAACTGTTGTAAATATGTCGAAAATTGGAAATGTCTGTGCATTTATTTCACTGTGAGTGAAAATAAAATCATTTTCTGGTGATTAGAGAGTGCCATGTATCATTGAAACAAAATTTCTTTGTGATTAATAGTTTTGAATTTGTAGTCATTTTCAGATAAATGCCTAAAATGCGCAGACATATTTAAATAATAATTACGTATCGAGCCTCTTGTTAGGCACCTCATTTACATAATTACAATTATATCGTAGGTGTACAGTATTTATTTATAGGTGAAGGTGGTGCTGTGTTATGAATAATTAACTGATTGATCCTGGCTTTATTTCCAATATCGAAGATTATTCTTCGTGACATTTAGCTAACATCTACTTCCCAATTATTAGTGATATTTAGATCTTAGTTATTTTGTAGTCTTTTAATTTTTTTAATGAAACTTGCATGTTAAAGTTGTGTCATGGAAATCGAAGGTTTCGTTTGTGATGAATATAAAAAAAATAGTAACATAATTGCTAAAGAACTAAAGCGTTAAATTTTGCACTTTTGTCCTTACTAATTTAGTAACATTTGAAGTTGGAATAATTCGTGCTATTATCGTAAACGTTTCTCGATGTTGGAAATGTGAGCGATGATATATTTTTGTACGTGGTTTTTAATGCTTTATCGGTAAGTTTAGTTTTTCATCTCGGCTTTTTGTTTAGAAAGCATCGAAGATGAGAAATAGCGAAAGTTGATAACAGTATGAGCTTAAAAATGTTAGGGAATACTTAAACAATTGTTTCGTTGCATTAGTTTAACTGGAATGGAATATTTTGATGTGAAACATCCTTTGGGGTAAAACCGACCCTTGATGTTTCACATCTGCCAGGTATGTCGTGACGGTTAAATTTTAGGAAACAGTGTATTCATTGTAGCGATACCAATGGTATATCTACTTATTTATGCAATTTAAAAATGGTCTTACTAATGTTATTAAAAATTTATTATTTTTTTTATAAATTTCAAAAATGATTAGTAGAAGTATGTCAGTACGTGTGGCCATTCTTTTGAAATTGTCATTTTGGTCTCTTTTACGACTTTTCTTTAGTTTTTTTGTTACTCAATATTTTTTTTTTGTTTTTATTATTACAAACGAAACAATTAAAAATAGGGAAGAAATTATGAAATGTTTTTACAATAAAGGTAGCAAATTACATAATTCCTATGGTGCTTTAGTTTAGGTAATAAACATATTTAGAGATCAAAGTTAATAATTTTCATCAAGAATTGACGAATAATTACTTAATGCATGATATTGCAGGTGGCAAATTGAATACTTTGTAAAGCAAAATAAAAAATTTATTGTACAAAATTTGTTTGTTTCTTGTAATTTTTATGTTGTTGTATAAGTTTTGAATTTGTCACTTTGTTATTGTATCCTGTTTTATAACATTGTCAAACGTGTTGTTGAACAGTAAGTTCTAGTCCAATAATAAATAAAATATTTACGTATGACTTTATTTATTTATTTTATTCACTCCTTACCAATTTTAACGAAAAGAAGACGGTAAGTAAATTTTAAATTTTTTAGCAAAAAGCTATTAATAAATAGATTTTGCATCCCAGTTAAGTTTCAAGTTCAAGGTCTTATTATAATAAACACCTGAAAACTTTTTGGCAAAGACCATATGACGATAAGCGAAGTGACTTAGCCCGAAGAGGGATATTTGAATGAAATAAGTTTCGTTTCTACTATTACAAAGGAATGATCATTGAAATAAATCAAATTTTATCTCAAAAAATTGATCTTTATTATTATTTTTTTCAGTACGACGTAGCTCTAATCAATTTAAGAATTTTGGCGGTTTCACATTAAAATTGCTGTAGAACATCTTAAAGAAAAAACAGAATGTTGGAAGATATCGCCTGTGTCTAATGATTATAAATATTTTGAGTTGCCTGTTTTTCGGTGGGTGTAATACTCACAATTTTTTCTTACAGTTCTATGCAGTAACCGTGTAAGCCAAATGACAAAGACTTACGATGACATAGAAGCAGTCACAAGGCTTCTTGAAGAGGTAAGTGCTAGATAATGTCTTTTTTCTAGTTTTCAGTTAACGTGTAACATTAGAAATGGTAACATCATGGTGCCTTTAGTTTTTGTATAATGTTTAAATAATTGGTTATAGTGTCCAAGTTCTTATAAAATTGACAACGGTTTATTGATATTTATTATTAGACGAATGTGCGATAAATAATTGTAATTATTATTTATGTAATGTTATTCGAATAGTCATTTCAAGAGCCACTTCCTGGAGAACACTTTTTTAAAAATGTTTTTCTTAATCGTTTTTTTTTCTTTCTTTATCATAATATCTAAATAGTATAAATTTTTGTTTGTCATATGTGCTAATCGCTAAAGAATGCTTGATAATGAAAAGGATAAATTAAACGTGACAGATAAAAGCATAGGCACTCTTTTCCAGGTTACTGTTGTTTACTAAGTTAATTATTTTTATATTTGTTTGATTTTTGAGCGTTAATAACACAAGTAAAAACATATTGAACATATTGGTCATTAAATATGTATTAAAATTAGTTGGTCATATATTTTGTTAATTTACTTTTAAATAGGTTTCGCAAAAGAATTGTATTTTTAAATACATATCTATTAACTAAAACTGTAAAACGAATTTGGTATTTTTGACGAATGCGAGCCTACAATTAACGTATTACGTAAGAAATTAAGTTGTAATACAGTTACGGTTTTGTGATAAAAGAAAAATGCGATTTGTGTACCGTATTATTACTCATTAAAATATCTCAATTAGACTGAATGTACAAGCATTTACAATCATGTATTATACAATTTGCATTCGCGCAGCAGCAACTTATCAATTGGAAAAGGTTTTTATTAGGGGAAAGTTGACTATTTCTGTTCTATTGTTCGGCCAAGTTCCTTGTTTATATGCAAATAATAAATTTCTAGGTAATGGACTTTTTCACTCCTGCTTTACAATTCATGCTTTATTTTCTCATAAAAATAGAAATACTATGCAAGGGAAAAAAGTTTGCGGCATCAACAATTCTTTTCCCATGTCGTTTATATTCATTGTTAGATTACAATCAGTTAGAAAACTCCGTTATCATTTGCTTGTAATCAAGAGAAGTAAAAAGTGACAAGCCTTTTTTCTTCCGTTCCCATGTGTACTCTATTTGATGAAGAAAGGCCAGTTTCACGTACTTTTGTCTAGTTTTCTTGGGAACTATCACTGTTCGATTTTTATTAGTTTCAGTTTTTTGTCTCTCCTTAGAGTATGTAATTTATTCCAACTTAATTACCTTGGTAGGCACACATTGTTGTAAACATAAGTACGACAACACGCACTTCGTTCGTATTTTCGTTACCTTATGCCTTAAGGTTCTAAGTAATAAAAACAATTACTCTATTAGGTTAGGATTATAAGGTTATGAAAGAAAAAGGCAACACCAACGAAGTGGTATAACAAGCATTGGTTGTTATTAGTTCTTACTATTGACAATACAGAAAAGAGTTTGAAGATGGATCAAGTCAAAATTGATCGCGATTTTAAAATAANATTATATTAAATAGCATATGGAACAAACTGTACCATTAAAATAATTGTAGTTGTTAAGCTTTTCTATTTTATAATTATAAAGTAATAGTAATTAGCTATAAAACAAAATATTAACAATTTGAATTGATTTCTTTGAAATTGAGTCCCGCCATATAACCACAGCTATATGGTGGAACAAAAAAAATTATCTTATTGACACAATATTAATTAATATATCACCTAGATAAAACCCACCACTTCAAATAAATTTGCTATAAAGGATATCAGATTTACTGAAGTGCAGCAAATAGTTTTTATTAAAACGGTTTGCGCGCCGACACGAAGTATTATACTGGTAGTAATTATTTTTATTCACTTTTAAGGTAAGTGCATTACTCTCTATTAAAAAATGAATTCTTCGACATCTGTTATTAAATAAATTATTGACATATTTGATAAGTTTAAAAAACATTTTGTAGTTACTTCACTACCATTAAGTCTATTCTTAGTGTTTGCTATTATAGGTAGATACTGTAGAATATTTCATGTACTTACAAATTATTTAATTCAACCGTAAAATGAGGTGCCTAAAAAGGGTATTAAAAGTGCTAAAGAGAATTAATTTTTAAAGATTTGATTTACAAATACAGGAATTAGGATTATCAATTATAGGGATTATTGTAAGACTTTTTAATCAAGTATCAATAAAAAGATAAAAGAGTAATAGTCTGAAATGTGCCAATATGTTTTTGCAAGGCCTATTTCTATGCAATAGGTTACCGAATTTATTTACAAAAAATTGGTAAACATTTAAAATTTTTTTTATATTTAATGTACGTATTTATTATACATAAATTTATATTGCATACGTTATATTATATACGATATATTGAAGATATAATAATTCCAAAGCCATTTTTTTGATGAGGTGACATACTTTTTTGTTGTTTTATAAAATATTTTTTGTTTAATTGAAAATAACTAAATTATATTTCCTTGAACGTTGTAGAGAGAATGAAAAGCAGAATATTAAATTTGGAGTAATTCAACTCTAAGTCACATTAAATCACACAGTAGCAGAACAATAAGAAGTTACATATTTTTGTTCATTAAATATTTATTTATTAATACAACGATTTCATAAGTCTGATATGTACTCGGGGGTAAAGAACTGTATAAATATATGAAAACCAAATGATGATTTGCTTATTTACGTGCTAAAATAACAAAAACAGGGTAAAAAGATTTCACGTACAAGAAGGGGTTTAAACGTTTTTATTTATTTAAAAAAAAACTACGTTTCGCCCACGTTACTGGGTTTCCTCAAACATTGTCTGTAGGTATTGTTGGTATTTTGCTTTCAAATTTGTTAATAAAATAGGGGAAGAACGGTTAATAGATTTTTTTTTATTTCAATGTTATAATACGCGTACCTAATAACGGTTTTGTTCACAACCTTTTATCTTATCAAAATAATGAAGTAATGATTGTTGAGACAGTAAGTGTGCTACGAAACACATTGAAAAACTTCTTTGTTAGCAAAAAGTAAATTTTGTTACAATTCTAGTTTTCGAATATAGCACTGCACTTGTTGATTCCTTATCTTTAAATTGACCCACATTAATGTCTAGTGAATAATAAATAATCAAACATAAAAATAAAACATTGCGAATATTTCCCTTATCACAAGGTAATTTTTATTTTAAATAAGCCGTGTTCCTAAAATAATTGGAATGCGAGTTAGTAAATATAAATAAAACAACAAGCATTCACAAGTGTGAATATTGATTTATAAAATTTTGATGATAATTATTACGATTTTAATCAGATTTAGTACTTTAAGAATTATATACTCATCAAAATTATAGATGTAAATCTGCCCTTTCCATAATTTTTGGCTTAAAAAAAGTAAAGAAAAAATATTTTGGTGTTTACTTCCGACATCTCAAGATTCTAGTAATCTAATAAATACATTATAAACTAATTAAATTTTTATTAATTTCAACATTTTATTATTTAAAATCCATTTTAATCAATTACTTTGTTGATATAATAAGAAATAAAATTGAAACTCAGTTTCATAGTAAGTTAAAACCAATTCCAATATATTGTACTACAGNAAACAATTTATAATATTTCATGTTCTTTTTATCAGTTAATATTTGCATAACTACGAAGCAAGTATATTTTATCATTTTTACGTTAATGTTCTCTTCTATATAAGTATTATTTGTTTTTAGACTTACTGCAAAAAGATTTCGTTCAAAAAATGAGACTTCTCTTAAGTATATTATTGTTTGCCTTTGCAAAGGGCCAAATAGATGAGTACAGATTATCATCTGCAGTAATACCGAGTAGTTATACCATAGGATTAACTGTTCAATCAAATTTTGGAGAGACTGGTGTTTTTCAAGGAGAGACGTCTATTTATCTTACTGTATTAGAACAGACGTCTACATTTGAAATTCATGGATCAGGACTGACAATTACGTCTAACACGCTGAGAACTACCCAAAGTTCGACAAATTTAATATCAAATATTGTATACAATTCAACAACGCAGAAGTACACCATAACTACCACATCACCTCTAAGTATTGGTACTGACCATTACTTCTTGACAATCGCATACAATGGGATTTTGTACGACGATATGTATGGCTTTTATAGGAGTTGGTATTCTGATGAAAATGGACAAACTACGTAAGTAGTAATCTTATCTATAGCTTTGCCCGACATAACTAAAATTGTTGATGGTGCAAACTTTTGATGAAACATTTAAAATCACGTCAATCATGTCGATCATTTTCAAGAATGGACAGAAATTACAGATAAAATTTTTAGTTGTGAGAATTTTACCTAATACATAGGGTAGACCATAATCATAAAGAAGGAGATCTAGAGCAGCTGTAGATTAGGGTTGAGTCTTTTTTTGGTTTAACTGTAGATTGTAGTAATAAAGGAAATATTTATTAATTGAAGTTATACAGTAGTGCGCATAGTTTGTGGAAATCATCCCTATAAAAATGTCTACTTGAATCTTTGTTTGCCCCGAATTCGTTCCTATGCAATAAAAGTTCGGTGAGTTGTTTAGAAGCGACATATTCAAACCAAAATGTATGCCTGACTTAATTATAAACGAGAAAACTAATAATAAATAACAGAAAAATCAATCAATTTATGATATGGACCCCCCAAAGAAACTTTATATAATTTATATAACTGAAAGTTAAGTTAATATGAATACTGATAATAGAATGATAACAAATTGTACGAAAGAAGAAAGTGTTATTGAAGCAGAAACAAGTCTGCTCTGACAGATAACATTAATTTCATTGATAATATCAGAAAATGTCTAGATAAATTACAGAAACTTTAAAAAACATACAGTAAATGACTTTCCATATCGACCTTCTAAACATACCATTTTCAATATTTTCCTTGAAGACAATCCTTAGCTTTTAGTGCTTGTAGAACAACTAGACCTTCTAATAATGATATGCCTAAGTAAAATAAAGTTAGTTGGTTGTTTGTAGCACTCACCGTGAAAATTGATTTGCAATTTTATTTACCAATAAAGAAACACGTAAAAATTATTTTAGAAACTGTATGTGCTTCTTTATTCACAAACAAAATACGTAATTGCAATGTTGGAGCATGACAGTACATCATCATCGTCATTATCATAAGGTCTAATCGATTTAATAACAGTATAATTTTCAAAAAAGACATTAAAATTTAATGCATTTAAATTCAATCACAGAGTAAAGTATGTTAAATCGAGTCGTTTTAAAAAAAACACACATTAAGTATTTTGATAAATTATGAGAAATCGTAAAAAATGCCTTAATGATAACGTTAGTGATAAAGATAAGTGTGCTTCAGAACAGTGCTAATAATGGCTGAATCTCATTCTAAAGAATTTAGTTAATTGATTGACGATAACCAGAAAATGTAATATTAATTAAAAAAAATAGATGACAGCCGATAATGAGATCTTATAGTATGTACCTGCATGGGAATTTGGAAATATAGGAGTCCATTTAGGGCTTATAGCGAATAAGTAATTAGAAGTTAGTTATACTTTACAAAAGTGCTTTGTAATCATTAATTACGTAAGAGGGCGTCAGGACTGTTCACTAAAAATTGATAAAAGATGTGCTTGTCACAAATAAGACAAATAGCACTTACTTTATTTAAAAATTAAATGAGAATAACATAATAAAAAAAATCAAAATTATCTATGTTAGTAAGAACGCCAAATGAATGAATGTTTATGAGAGCTTTTCTTTTTTTTTTCCGAAATAATTGTTAACTCGAAATGTAATTGCGTCTTCAATGTAAGCACTTTGCCCAATGCATATTTAATATAATTTACAACAACCGAAGGGAGAGTTTTGGATTCCGCTACAAACAGGAAGTAGCATTAGATAATAATGTACTTATATTGATGTGGAATTAGGAGCAATGCAATAATTTTATTCACGGTTATTTATCTGGCAGATAACCATGAATATTGTAGGAGTAAATTATTGTTTTAATCTTTTTATAAACCCAAACTTATTAACAGAGATGTCCCACAGGAGGAAAAATATATCCATAAGTGTTTACCCTATACAGCTAGGATCAACGGTGTGTTCTAATTTTTTAAAATGATGCTGTCTTTTAATGTACACAGGCTTTTTATTCTTATACTTTATGCAACCAAATATTTTCTGATTTATAAATAAGTAAATTAATTAATTAATTTTGCAGATGGTTGGCTACAACCCAATTTGAACCGACTTATGCTAGAAGAGCTTTTCCTTGCTTCGATGAACCTAACAAAAAGGCAACTTTTCAAGTTTCTATCACAAGACCGTCCACGTATAGATCTCTATCCAATGCTCCTTTGGAATCAACGGTGAGGTAATGTATGAAACTTATAGAATTGAAATGTATTTATTGTCCAAAAAATTTAATTGATTTATTAAGCCAATCATGCAAAAGCGAAAAAGCTCAAAAGTGTCGTACCTGGCGCCTCCACCATTTTAGATTCAATTAAATTCAAATTCAATCTAATCTAGATATTATTCGTAATAGCTGGTTGTAGTTGGTTAATAAACATAGATGATATTAAAAAAAGGAGAATATTGCTTAATAAAAATAGCAGAAATAAATAATAAAACAAAAGGGCGAATTTCAGCCTAAATACTTACTGTAAATTTCATATCATATTTCCTTAGAAGGTATAGAACTATAGTATACGAACTAAATATTTACGATCTACATATTTGCTTTTTTGCAGAATCATTTGCTATATTAAGAAAACTCTTTGTGTGGTTAGTAAGATAAAAAGGTAATTTAGTCGCACCCATCAATTATATAGGTACTTTCGTCAAAATTTTATCATTGTAATCAATTTGTCATTATTTTGTTTGCATTGTTAATTAGCGGAAACCGCTTTTGATACTTAATTATATAAATTCCTGAAACTGATGTTCTTACTATTTATTTCGTTAATCACTCGAATCTGATGTAAATCTAATTTTAAGTACATTTATTACTAATTTTGTTTCTTTTATGACTTTCCGACTGTGACGCCGCGTAAATAATATGATTCAAATTAAATTATATCAGTTATCTTATAACTCGTACGTATTTAGAAGAAACTCAAATATAACTGAAAGCTGAATATTTGGATAGATATCTCTTCCCCGTAGTTTAACATACGAATAGAAATAAAGGACTTTACAGCCCTTTTATGCAGGTTCTGTTTAGTATTATAAATTATTTATTTCTTATTTCCTAAGTGCTAATTCTATTAATAAACAAACCCACTAAATCCAAAAAAATATTTTTATTACCACATCCTCCTAACACATGACTTCAAACCCTTTTCTTCTCTTTCACATATTCTACATCGTCTTTCTTTACACTCATTCCCTATCCTAAACCTCGCCATTACACTTATTTTCCTCTCTCTTTCTAAATATCTTCACACGCAGTCTCCCTGCCAGTCCCTTCATACTATCTCCTTTAAACCAACTACATACCTGGACCTCTCTATTCTATTCTGTTCTAAATATTATTTAACAAATTAGAAAAGAAAAATAACCGTTCTATCGCGTGTAGACAACGACAAACATTTACGAAACCCATTTCAAATTCTGATGTAGGACTTCAGGGTTTAAAGCGGAATGTAATAATTTCTGTAAAATATTGCTTAGAGTTCATTTCTTTCTGCACAATAAGCGGACAAACATTTTTGGAAGTTATATATTCGAATTTGGAGCATTGAGAGTCAAATTTTAGCATGAAACGGAAATCGCCAGTTCGAACGTAGATCAGAACTGATGTTTCTGGTCTCAGCGGTCGCTGCTCTGGTACTAGCCGGTGTATTTATTTAAATATGTGTTCAAAATCCCATCCAGGTCATTGGTAAAAAGTTGGTACATCTAAATTATTTATTTAATACTGCAAGCTAACAGCTATATTTACCTACAGTGTTAGTAGGTCAATTAGCAACCTTTTAAATAGCGAAATCAATAATTATAATGAATGATAGTCGAGTCAAATCAAGAAGTCGAGAGTCGAGAGTCGAATTCAAGGTAGCAAAGATGCAGGGTGGTGAAACGGCTTACCGTCTTCACTCACCCTGTGATATTTCCCTGCTATTTCTACGTTCCCCGATTATCTAAGAAGGTAGCCTAAGATTATTATTATACATATTATTAAATAATTAATTAATTTTACTTAAATTAGTGACTACTCATTCTAAATTGTTTAGTAATCCACTNACCGTCTTCACTCACCCTGTGATATTTCCCTGCTATTTCTACGTTCCCCGATTATCTAAGAAGGTAGCCTAAGATTATTATTATACATATTATTAAATAATTAATTAATTTTACTTAAATTAGTGACTACTCATTCTAAATTGTTTAGTAATCCACTTGTAATATCTTATTAAAGTACTTAGTTATATCTTCAAATAAATTTATAAAATTCGCTTCTTCAATACACTACCAATTATTAGAGATGTTAATCGGTATTTGACGGGTAATTTTACAGTAAATTACCGGTAAAAAACGCGTCAATGATCGAGCGTATTTTACCATACCGGTTAGAAAAATGTTGATCTCTGATTGATTAATATATATCCAATCACAGTTTAGAATTCCCAACTACATACAACTAGAGATGTTAATCGGTATTTGACGGGTAATTTTACCGTAAATTACCGGTAAAAAACGCGTCAATGACCGAGCCTATTTTACCATACCGGTTAGAAAAATGTTGATCTCTGATTGATTAATANTCTTATTAAAGTACTTAGTTATATCTTCAAATAAATTTATAAAATTCGCTTCTTCAATACACTACCAATTATTAGAGATGTTAATCGGTATTTGACGGGTAATTTTACAGTAAATTACAGATAAAAAACGCGTCAATGATCGAGCCTATTTTACCATACCGGTCAGAAAAATGCTGATCTCTGATTGGTTAACATACATCCAATCACAGTTTAGAATTCCAATAATTTTTATTTTTCTTATCAATAATACTGTTTGTAATATAAAAAAAAACAATTTGTAGATAAGGATTTTCATTGGGAACTTGGTGCAATGGGAAAGAAAAAATCAATATATAAACATTTCTCTGCTTTACCTTTTTAATCACTTTCTTTGTGTTAAAAATTGTTTGATAAAGTAAACTTAAAGGAATTATTTGTAAATAGGTATGCAACACATCGTACACTTCAGCATAAGAAATTGCTGATAGTAACTACGTAATACTACTTTACCCTGTGTTGGCAGCACTATATAGATGCAAATGACCGGTAATTTACGGTAATTACACTGACCGAAGGCTTGACGGTAAATTTCACATTCAAAATTTTTTGTCCGAATACCGACAGAAACCGACAGAAACCGGTAATTTTACGCGGTAATGACCAAATTTTTTATTACCGGTAAATTCACATCTCTACCTATTACCTAAATACAAGTATGTACATGAGTGCATGTAAGTACCATTTTTTTGTTTATTACAGAGTGAGCGCCAATGTAGAGAGAGACACTTATCAAACAACACCAATAATGTCCACTTACCTTGTCGCTTTCATCGTATCGGATTATGCAAGTATATACGATCCTGTCGATAAGAATGGTGTTTGGTCTCGAAAAGAAGCCATCGGTACAGGCGACTACGGTTTCCAAATCGCTCCAAAACTGGTAGCTGCTTATGAAAATTATACCGGGATTGAATACTTATCCACTGGAATCGGTAAACTGGATCAAGTAGCTATTCCAGATTTTGGCGCTGGAGCTATGGAAAATTGGGGATTAATTACCTACAGGTAGATAAATCCTTAAAGGAAATTAATTAAATCAAAAAATAAAACAAGAGACGCAGCAGCGGATGGTGACTGTAGGGGGTTAATAATAATTACGCTTCAAAGGTCGTCAAAGCAGTAGTTGAAGTTTCCAAGGAGAAAATGTAATTGTGGTTAATTTTTTCGATAGATAGCAAGCCACGATATGCTTTTTTTGACTATTTTGAAGCTCCCCATTTGTTTTTGTATCCCTTATCGCCCTCATGGAAGGTTGTACAGCCCACTGGGGGGTAGTATCGCCCCCAGTATGAATACATGTTTTCGAGAAAGCTGTTTCAGGTTCATGATTTGTTATGGGCATTGTCGAACAGATTTTTAGAAAAGTATACAAATTTGCGATTTGTTTCATAATTTAATGTATCTGCGCATTTTAAACGTTAATTTTTATTTGAATTCACGGTTAATTCAGTTATATTCAATGAGTTGGTAGCATTCAATTTTAATCTGTCTTCTCAGCCAACACTATAACAACTGATGTTACTATATTTGAATTATATTTTCATCTATTTAGCGGTAAAATGTTTAGGAGCTCTAAAGGAGCTTTAGCATCAAAGGCATCCCTATAAGTAAATCCGTCATTACAATGCGTTTTTTTGTGATAAAATTGCATGGGTTTAGAAGACACTACACTTACCTATTTCTACTATTCTTTTCGCTTAGTTTTCATCACAAATCATAGTTCATTATTGCACTATATGTACACTATCAGTCTAATATTTAAAATCACAAATAAAATGAGTCTAATCTTAACCAAATGTTTTTACATTTAAATCATGCACTAATTATGAGCGCGATCGTTTAGTCAAATTAATAACGCAACAATTCACCGGCACACACGCTGCGAACTTGCTACGATATCCGTCAAGAACTGATGAATTTATCTACTGACCACAGTCGCTTAGAGATTTTTTGCTCCCTTTCACAAAGATAAAAGCTCTCGATGATGTCATTTCTAAAGGATTCGTGAATTGTATGTATACTTAAACACTCTGCAATAAATAGAGACCACTAGAAGCGTGTTTGATGGTACAATAAATGAAAAGTAGAGAGACCTTCGCTCTTTCACATCATTTCCGTAAGAAAATAAGACCTATATACTTATAGGATAAACTAATAGAATAAATATAGGTAAAAGCCATCTCTCAGACAGTTACTTTTGCACGAAGAGACCACATTGATATCAGTTCATCCCTTTTGGACATACGCGTTGATTAAACTCCACACCAAAAAGTTTAAAATAAAAGAAGTTCTATTACACTAATACTTAACTGTTCGTTTAAAGAGAGTACGCAATTTTATGGGACCCTAGTCAATCAAGCCACAATTATAAAGAATCTGTAGCAACAACAATAGCCCACGAATTAGCTCATATGTGGTTTGGAGATTTGGTAACTTGCGATTGGTGGAGTTACACGTGGCTAAACGAGGGATTTGCCCAATACATGGAATATATGATGACTGCAAGGGTTAGCATGATTTACTAAATTTATTGAAAAGAAGCTTTAACTAATTAAAAAACTGTTGGGATAGGTTGAAACAACTTGGGAATTAGAAAAACAATTCGTTGTAACCTTGGTCCAGGGGATATTTGCAAGTGACTCCACGTTGTCGTCACAACCATTAAATGCAAACGCTTCTACAATTTCTGAAATTAATTACAAATTTGCTTCACTAACTTACTATAAAGGTATTTAAAACAATGTTATTTATCCTGCGAATATGGGCCTCACGATTTTTGCCTTTCAGGAGCTAGTATAATAAGGATGATGAGAGATTTCCTGGGAGCAAACCGTTTCAGAAATGCAATCCAATTCTATCTTTCAAACCAGTAAATAAAATAAATAACGTACAACTCTGTTGTGTATCTAATCCATATTTGATTATTTTAGTACATTTTCAACTGCAGTTCCTGACGACTTATGGGAGGCCATGGAAGCCTATTCTAGAGACGTTGATTTACCTGCTACTGTAGGACAAATTATGTCAACATGGACCGATCAACCCGGATTTCCGGTTGTACGCGTTTCCCTAAGTGGAAGTACCGACGTCAACATTACCCAAGTACTTAATTACCTATAGATACAAATTAATTATTGTTTGCGATATTTGACCATCTGTCATTTTTTTAGCAAAGATTCTTGCTGAACAACAACAACACAAGTGATCTTAAATATTACGTGCCAATAAGTTATACGAATTCGACTGCGAAAGACTTTGAAACGGTTTCCCCAAGGCACTGGTTACTACCAAATTCGAATTTACAAATTTCAAACGCCCTTCCTAGTTCAGGATGGATAGTGGTTAACATTCAAGAAACTGGTAAACCTTCCAAACTTTCTGCACAGTACAATAGAATACAATACAATAAAACGTAATCCTTGTAGGTTTTTATAGAGTTAACTACGATGAGACATTGTGGCGTAGATTAGCTTCGGCCTTAAAAACTGCTAATCACGATGGGATAGATGTGCTCAACAGGGCTCAAATAGTCGACGACTCTTTCAACTTAGCCAGAGCTGGACTACTTCCTTATGGGGTTGCATTGGATGTTACTTCATATCTTTCGACAGAGACCGAATACTATCCTTGGGTTTCGGCTTTGGAAGCTTTGAATCATTTGAGGATTCGTTCAGCCAACAGCACATCTTTGAGATCATTTTTGGAGGTACTTATAATGAATTGATTACAATTCAATGCAAGTGTAATTCGTTTTATTTGTAGACCCACATTTTGGATTTGATTTCTACCGTTTACGAAGGTCTTAGTTTTGATTACGATCCAAACGAATCCCAGGCGGACATCTTGAAGAAAGTGACAATTTTGAATTTGGCTTGCGAATTAGGACTGGAAAGTTGTGTCAGTCGAGCGAACGCTCTGTTCAACAATTTCAAAAACAATAACGTTTCGTATGTCAAGATGTGATGAGGTAGATGCATAGTTTATTTATTGCATGCCTTTTGTGCAGGGTAAATCCAGATACAAGGACCGTGGTCTATTGTACTGCTCTGAGGACTGCTACAAGTCCTGACAATTGGTACTTCTTGTGGAATAGATACTTGAATACAAAACTGGCTTCGGAAATGAATATTATCCTGAGCACTCTGGGGTGCACCAGAAATGATACGCTTCGGACTGAGTAAGAAAATCCCAAAATATACAGGACACAGGGTGTGATTGCTATAGGCACTCAGATCCCTGTATTTTCAAAATTAATTTTCCGGACATATTTTCACTGATTGAGTAAATATTTCGATATTTATACATTTGTGTTATAGATATTTGCTGAAAAGTATAACACGGGACTCAGGAATACGATCACAGGACTCCAGAAGTGTCTTCCAATCTATATACGTCAGGAACCTCGATGGTGTAGATCTTGCGTATAATTTCTTTAAAACAAATTTCCAAAGCATATCTAGCTAGTAAGTACCTATAAACATGTATTTTTGTTTACTACTAATTAAGTGTTTGTTCATTTATTTTAGCTATGGTGGTGGCACCTCCGTGGGAACTATCGTGAGTGGAATAGCTAGCAGATTTACAAACAGTGAACAGATAGAAGATGTAAGTACAATTACCTAAATTTTTTTAACATCTTTGTTAGGTACTTACTTGTATTTTATTATAACCCAAAATGGGTGCTGTTAGATTAAGTTTAATTACCACATAAAATACGTAAAGAAAATCTAATTTTTAATGTCCCTACTCATTATGGCAAAGATTTTACATCATCATCATCATCATAAGATCGTCAGTCATAAGACTGGTTCGACATGCACCTCCACTACTTCCTAGCTTGAGCTAATATTCGCACATCCCTAAAAATAGAACAGCCCACATCCTTAACTATTTGCGAACAGTAATCTAACCTAGGTCTACCTCTTAACTCCTGTTTCTGACTCTAATATTTCTCTGACTAGATCTTCATGTCTGAGAAGGTGTCCTACCAACCTATCTCGCCTATTTATTATTGACTTTAATAGAGACCTCTGTTCTCATATTGCTTTTAATACCTCATCATTTCTAACCTTCTCTTTCGCCTGTAACATCACATTTTGGACGCTTCTAACCTTTCCTTTTCCGCTGCGCTCACCGTCCATATTTCGCACCCGTACAGCGTTGCGCTCCAAACATACACCTTTAACAATCTTTTTCCAATTTCTAAATTAATCGTTCGCGAGCATAGAAGTGACTTCTTTTTATTAAAGGCGACTCGACCCTGCTCTATCCTCTGCTTTATATCCCTACTACTGACTTATCTGACTTCCTGGATACCTCAAATCGGCCACTTCTTCTAATTTTTCGTCTCCTTTCTCTATATCTGCTCTTTCCCTACCTTTTCTTCCCTTGCATACTAGTATTTTACTTTTATTTATTTTTACTACTGTTTGGTCAATACCGCTTCCATTTTATTTAAAGCTATTTCTAACTCCTTGTTGCTAGATGCTAATAGTTCTATATCATCTGCAAATCTAAGCATACTTATCTTTTGTCCCTGTATATCATCTATACTTCTCTACGTTGCAACCGTAGCTCTATAACTGCCTGTTGCTCTTTATACAAACTAAGTATCTCAATCTCTCTTCAATCTCTGTAACTCATCCCTACATTTTTAAGTATATTTAACATTGTCAAAAGATTTTTCTGAATCTACAATGGTTTACATATTAAATAAATATTTTTGTGTTTCTTTTTTTGTTTCGCAGTTTGAAGCATTCATTCAACAAAATCGAGAAATACTGGGTGGAGCATTGTCAGCTGCTGAAGGAGCTGTTGAAAGTGCAAGGGCCAATGTTCAATGGATGAATTCCTATTCGGACTCAATTTTGCAGTGGTTTGTACAGACTTACGGTAGCAGCAGTGGTATACCAATCTTTGGCAGGCTTTTACTCGTTCTTTCTGTTATTGTAATTTTTATTAGATAATAATCTTATGATTATTTTATTTAACAATTGATCTTTATACACTTATTATTATGTAGTTAGTCCATTAAAACAAATAAATAATAAATAAACTAGTACCTACAACGGTTCCGACAGTTGCTTCAATTTATTTGAAATGTACCTGCATGAAATGAAAATATAAATTAACAATATTTAATGAAAATTATGTCTGTAAGGAAAACTTTAGCGAATATTTACTTATGGATATTATTATCTGTATGTACACATATCAATAAACAAAGTTTGTTTGTAGCAATGTTGAAAACACTGTCTTTTTCAGTTGTTTTTGTTATCTCTATGCCATTAATAAAACACAAACGACTCTTAGAAGTTTGTCTGTTTGTAGTGTGTCGTCGAGTTTTTTAGTTAGTTAAATTTAAAACTTTTCAAGTGGTTTCTGCTTTATAGTCAGCAATAGTAAACTAACTATCCGGAATTGAATGTCGTCATTTTGCCTTAGATACTGTTTATAAATTCTATTAACCATTCTTTTCCTATTTTACTATTCGGTTTGTAATCAAAGCACCAAGGGGTTATTAATTTTTTTAAAAACTACAGTCAACGTTACGCCAACGTCGCTGGACTTTTTCAAGGATGTAAGGTGCATGGACTCGCTACTAAACGGTAATTAAAAACCACTTGCTTACAATCAGACAAAACACTTTAACAATAAGTTATTTAGTTATTGTTTTAATTTTTCGAATCTTTTATAACAAGTGTAAAGGTTTGTTAATTATTTTATTGTTTATTTATCATCATCATCAGGTCGTCAATCCTAAGACTAGCACGATACGCACTTCCACTCTTTTCTATCCTGAGCCTAATTTTCGCATTAAAACACCCACGTCCTTAACTATTTGCGACCAGTAATCTAATCTAGGTCTACGTCTAGTCCTATTAACTCCTGTTTCTGCCTCTAATATGTCTGTGGCTAGACCTTCGTACCTGAGGTGTCCTACTAATCTAACTTGCCTATTCCTTACTGACTTCCACGACGCCCTCTGTTCTCTTACTCTTTCTAATACCTCATCATTTTTAACCTTCTCTGTCCACAATATCTTCATCATTCGCATGGACTTAGAAGTGACTCCCTCTTGCTATAGGCGACTGACTCTACCCAAGAATAGTAATTTTGTGTTGGCGATCGGCCTTATATCTTTACTAAAAAAATACCCAAAAGCGAAACTTTGTCTGTAGTTTTTAAATAAATATAATAATAAACGTTTAATCCTTTCGTTCTTTGATTTCGAACCGTGACAGTAAACTGTGGGATGGGAGAATACAGCCGGGCGTTATGGTCTTATTACGTGGGGGTTACCAACAATTTTACAATTTATTTTTGAAAATTAAAAAACCATAATTGAAGTTTAAAGACCTTCACAGTGCACGTGCTACGTACTGGAGTGACGAGGGGGACCAGATAAGACCACGCATTACGATGGCGTTACAAGATACGGAAATTCGCTTTTGTATTGTAAACTTCAATCGATATCAGCATGTTTATCATTAGATAAAGCTACAAATTCTCTACTCTCAATAATTTATATATGTAGATACTTACATTGCAGCCATGTCACTAACAGCGAGACAGTTAACAGTACCCACCTTAGTTAATAACATTATTATTTGTTTTGTGATGAGGTCAATAAAAATATAAAATGAGTCCGTACAGAGTGGGTTTTTACTTAATTTTGAACGCCGTGTTTTCCATCACAATAATACTGCTCAACAAATGGATTTATGCTCACGGTATATTTCCGAACATAACGTTATCGATGTTACATTTTGTGGTTACCTTTTTGGGATTGCACGTGTGCCAAAAAATTGGTGTTTTCGAAAAAAAGACGGTTGTATTGGACGATATTGTTATATTAGCGTTTTCGTTTTGTGGATTTGTAGTGTTGACGAATTTAAGTTTGCAGTATAATTCGGTCGGAACGTTTCAGGTTGCGAAAATGCTGACTACCCCTGGAGTGGTTCTTATACAGAGTATTTATTACAGGAAACATTTTTCATTTCTAACCGTACTCACCATGGTAATGTATTACAGTGATACGGTGAAAGGGTGAAAATAGAAAGACACTATTATAAATTCACTTTCAGGTTCCCGTACTGGTAGGGGTAACCGTTTGTTTCTGTTATGACATACAGTTGAACATTTTCGGAACTATTTTGGCACTTTCTGGTGTTATTGTAACTTCACTGTACCAAGTAGTAAGTTTTATTAATATTATTCTTAAGACAAAACAGATCAAGACTGACTTTTAAAAATTAGAAATTAAAAGGAAGACTCACCCCTAATTACCACAAAAAACTTTCGCGTGTTTCGCCCACTTATTATCAACGCGAGATAATGAGTAAGTCTTCCTTTTAATTTTTAATTAATATTTACCACAGTCTCCTCTTTCTACTAAGACTGACTTGATACCAGTAAGACGAAGACCTGGATCGAACAAACATGACTAAGACTAAAACCAAGATCGAACGTTTCGAACATTTTCATTTATTTATCTTTCTTATTTTTTTCATTCTATTTTTTTGTCAATAGTTGGTGAATTCAAAACAATCAGAACTGCAGTTAGACTCTATGCAACTGTTGTATTACCAAGCACCTTTTTCAGCAATTTTGCTATGCTTTTGCATCCCAGTTTTTGAACATCCCAAGACGTTCAATCATGTATGGACCGTTCAGGATATGGTAAATAATTTATACTCAACTAAAGTAAAAATCCGAACGCGTGATTGTTTTGTTATCTTCTTAGGCGATGGTTTTTACGTCATGTTTTGCGGCTTTGTTTGTGAATCTCACAACTTATTGGATCATTGGAAATACGTCTCCCCTAACGTATCCTTTTGTTATATGGATATTAATTTATTTTTTTGAAATATTAGCTGTTGTTTTCCAATAAATTATTTATTAGATATAACATGTTGGGCCATTTCAAGTTTGTTCTCATAACTATGGGTGGATGGTATCTATTCGAAGAAAAAACCTCAGTTTATCAAGTTGTGGGGATTTTAATGACATTGTGTGGAATAATAGCGTACGGACACGTTAAAGTAAGTACTTATTATTATTTATAGAACCTTTAATTTCTATAGGATGGTAAAAGGCTTTCGTTTGTGGATTATAATTTAATATTTAACCCAACTCAACTTATAATAGAAATGAAAAATACCGACGAAAAAGCGCGTACTTTCTATGTTCAATGGACAATTTTATGTTGCATGTGAAAGAATGTTTTGTCAATGTTTGTATCTTTTTTCCAGATGAAAGAAGGCGATAAGGCGCGTCTTGCAAGGACGGAAAGTTTAAATAAAGAAGATACATGTTGACTTTTTATTAGTAAATAAATTATACAAAAAAACAAACTTGTTACGAAAAAGACATCGATTTTATAAAAAGTTAACTCAGTTTACTTATTATTACATCGCATTAATATATATACTTTTATATATATATCATCTATACCTTTCTTAGAGATCATTTATTAGTGAGACACCATAATAATAATAATAATAATTAGAAATAGGAAAACATTATTTTCATACCTTTATAAACCTACATATGATTCATTGAATACGATAAAAATTCACGTCGTATTATTATTATTTAGACTAATTTTTTGTTATGGGGGTTGACATGTACGCATGTATGTATGTAGTAAATATCGTATGTAGGATTATAAAGTGCGAGAAAAAGTTGCAGACATTAAGTAGATAAAACAATTGATATTCAGCTGAGGAATAAGAGAACATTGAGAAGGAAATGAACGAAGATGATAGTAAAAACGAATGGACTCATAGACTATATTGATTGAACAGATGCATATGATAACATTCTGTGCCTATATATGCAGTATATTATATGTATATGGAGAGCACACCAGATGGCTATCTGCCCTCAGAAAGCGTATTTAAATAATCCTAAATTATTTACAATTAATTTATTGTTCAAATAAATACTTTACAATAATTGTTATTATCGAAATAAAGTTAATGTTTTTGTTACGTACATTTGTAATTATTTTAATAAAACAGCTTATAAATTGAACAATTAGGTACTAACCGAAGTAAAACTAAGTAGAGGGAAATAGGAAAGTTCGTGACCCAGTGTGAAAGTTAATGGGGCAATAATACATATATGTAATTTCGATATGATGTTCTGATATTTTCACCCACCGCACCGTGAGGTTGCTTACAACCTAAACTACTATTTTGGAATGTAAAAATAACGTTAAGTTAGTTCTTTGGTAAAAATGGACAGCCTATAAAATTACAAAACGTCGTAAGGCTTTGTGAAGTCATTATAATCTAACATAACAACCATAGAATCAACAGAACTAGCGCAATCTTGAGAATATGAGTACTACAACAACCGTAATTCACTCATGTTTTCGAAATTGATTCTTATGAAGTCGAATAAAGACGATCATGCTCGAAATTTCAAGCTTATTTCGTTATATTTGTTTACTAATCGACCATAGTAAGACTAATCAAGAATCATCCTTCCCTTTATACCAGTATTTTTTGAAGAAAATTGAAACGGAGAAGCAAACGTGAAGAACTGTATTTAAAAAACTTTCACAAACTTTTATTAATCTTGGCAATCGTTTTGCCATTTTGTGGCTTCTTCAGAAGATACAAAAGTGGCGAAGTAATAGTCAAATAAACTAATAAAAGTTTGTGGTACTTATTATACACACATTAAACTAAGAAAACATTATTAAAATAAATTTCAAATCGACTTTTCGCATTTTAAATTGAACAAATAAATAATTTACGTATGAATAAACAATTGGAAGGTAAAATGTAGTTAAAGTAGTACTCACCGTCTCCAAATATACCAATAGCATACATCAAACTACCTCATTATGTGTTATAATGGTACATTTCGCCAGAAACTCTGTTAACCCCAGTGTAAATCGGTTCATTAGCGTTTACCCGAACAGGTCCGGTCTGAAACTGCAGCCTTTTTATGTAAGGATTCGGAGTAGGAATTCCGTTGAAGAGTCTAACTCCGTTATGATGGGTCGGGATGGTGGTATGTTGCCGAGGATAAATGTTGCAGCTATTACCAGTTCCTAAATTCACCACCCCATTTGGCGTTGTCGTATGTTGTTGGGGTAAGGGCATCGTGGAACAATGCGGGTAAATGCTTTGTACTGGTTGGGTGGGATAATGTGGAAGAGTTGCTGACGACGCTTGGATGCTCCGTAGATCGCCGCTTTCGGTAAACGACGTCATTCGCATGTTGGTAGCGCGTCCGAACGGTTCGTCTTTTACCGCCACGACAACTTGATTTGGTTCGATTGGTACTGGCCTGTTGACCTTTCTGCGTATGACCACCGTGCTTTCAGCTGGATTTTCCAAAATGACAGCCGGAATGCCATGGTCTACGATGCTCCCACCAACTGATGAGGTGGTAGTCGTGTTAGCGGGTGACGAATTGTATTTTAGCAGATTGCTGTATGGGGAACCGTTGTTCAGGGTGTAAGGGTTGGGCTGTGGAGAACTAACATTGTTGCCTTGTGGTTGGGGAACGATGATGGGACTAATGATTGTGGAGCCGGGAGGTTGGGTGTTTCTTTGTAAAGAACACGATCGCCACTGTATTTCCTCCTTTGACATTGGTTGTGCTAAATCAGCTACGCTAGTTGCTCGTTTGGTAGTTGAATTGGACATTTGGTTGTGTTGAAGTTCTGAGCTTTCGTTTGAATGAACTCCACTCGATGTTTCGCTATGATTGCTTCCCGGTGGATCTGGAGGAGACTGAGAACACTCTGTACTGACCGAATCGGAACGAGGAGTTAGTTCGTCATGGGGCATCCCAGAATCAGCTCTACGAAGACATTTTGGAGTTTGACCTGATCCCTATGAAAATTATCATTCAAGAAAAGAAAAAAAAATCGATGGGCTTTTGTTGATGATGAAATAGACAAGAAACGTTAGGCATGTGAAGGAAGAAAAATTGAGAAACATTCACACACACACCTGGGCAACCGTTTGAGGTATTGAGTTTTCTTTAATAGTGTTAGTGTCCTCTTTGTCGGACAAAGGTTCTGGCGTTAATAATGGACTGGGATCTTCGTAATCTACGGGTGGGACCAAATCCTGGCTGGTGCTAGCGTATGTTACGTGTTCATCGTGAACACAAGCCAAAAGCTGAAGTGTTAAAATGCAATTGTGAGAGAATGTTAGTAAGAACTACCTAAAGAAAATTATTGAAAAGAATTTTTTTGACCATTGAAAGTCGATAAAAGCAAAAAGCGTTCAATGTGAACATAGAAACGCTGTCTTTTAAATAAACATAAGGATTTATGAGGTTTTAAATGCATGATATTAAATTCCAAAGTTCAGTTTTTTCTGCCAGTTCAGGACGACACTCATCTGGAGTTTTAATGAAATGCCATAAATTTTCTTACCTTTCCCTCTTCACTGGCCGTGTCGTCGCCAAGATCGATGTTGGTTGCCGGAACTGGAAGTTCTCTCAATGTGGCATAGTCACCTTCGTCGATTTCCATTCCTGGTAGTCGTTTTCCACGACAGACGTTGCCTTTATTACTGGAAAGCGTAAGAAAAAAGCGTTTCCTTGATATTTAGAATTTTAGGATAACGACACACATTCCTATTTAAACCATTCTAACTTGACTTAAGACGAACTATTATACTTTAATAAAGGAGCTACCCATCTACTTCTAATGACTATTACCCGCACCGAAGAAAGAAGTAACAAAAAACACAACACCTATAAAAACCAAGTAGTTACCGAACAGCAGACGTACTAGTTGCTTCGTCAAAGGACACTTTCGACTTGGGTTTCTTGTTGAACCAACACAACTGCTTTGAACCATCTGGAGAATGATGTACTGAGGATATGGCAGGTCTCAACCAGTAAATTTGCTCTTCGTCTTCCTCTTCCGTTATAACCGAATTATTTTCAGATCTGGTTTTCTTCAAAATGGTGGTCTTCTGGATTATCCCCATTATAGCTTTTTTCGGCGACGTTTCGGCTACGGTATATGTACGTCCGTTTCCTACGACTAACAAGGGTTGCAAGCTGGGGTCATCTTGAGGGACGTTCGCTAAATCTACATCAGTCACAAGCTTTACATGTCGCGCTTGTCTTATTGTAGCTCGTCCAACCTGAAAGGTACAAAATGTTGATTCTACCCGAACGTTTTAAGTCTTTTCGTGATGTGGCACTTACAGAAACGCGTAATTTGAAGGTCCACTTTTGTTTTATTGTCAGAAACAGCCACAAAACAACCCAAAGGAAAAGATGCAAAATACTGCCGACAACACACGTAAGCACGGCTCCATCGAGACTCCCTTTGTAAATTATCGTATAATCATGCAATAAGGGAGCGCTACTAACACCAATAGACACTAAAGCACAAAGGGCGGCACAATGGGTAAAATAACTCCATCTTGATGTGTGAAAAGCCGCTTTCAAAGCAATTATTTTCCGTTCCCTTTCTTGGTTCAGAAATGCATTAAATCTGTAACGAGTTGCAACAACATTAAATTCGTATGCTCTCTTGATATTTTGAGTTACGAAAAGGGTAACTGAACATTACCTTGGAAAATACCACAAATGGCGCGGTAAACGCCACCTGTAGTACGATGCTACATTTTAGGATTACGTATGCTCCAACAAGGTCCATTTAAATATATTTATATCTACTTGCTGAAACGAATCCCGGCGTAGCTAACCTCAACGTGATAGGCACCTTACCATAATCGAATAAAATTCGCGAACGTACTACAGATGGCGTTTACCGCGCCATTTGTGGTATTTCTTAAAACGCGCTGTCAAGATAGCAGGTAAAAGTTGGTCTGTGTTCTGTCGGAGCTGCCTGCGCGCGCTGATGAGATCCAAAAAGATCGAAATCGCGATCCGCGTCTGGCAGTTTCGANTAACTTTAGCTGTCTAATTAAGACAAATTTTAAACGTACTACAGATGGCGTTTACTGCGCCATTTGTGGTATTTTCTAAAACGCGCTGTTAAGACAGCAGGTAAAAGTTGGTCTGTGTTCTGTCGGAGCTGCCTGCGCGCGCTGATGAGATCCAAAAAGATCGAAATCGCGATCCGCGTCTGGCAGTTTCGACAGAATACAGACCACTTCGAATTATTTTATTCAAACATTACCTTGTATATCCGTACAGATAAAGCACTAAACTGGAGGAAAGTACAAGTAGCGAATACAAAATGTATAGTGCAAGCGTTACTTGGGGATTGAGCAAGAAAGGAGAGATGCCACCCAATGGGGACACACCCCCCGGTTGAGGTTTAAGAAGTGGAAGGACCTTCCACACTCCAACCACTTGAACCTGTCAACAATAAACGAAGATTACACCAACATTGATTTAGTCCTTTGTTTGATAAAATGTATATTGCCTCTTACCCTGTAAAGTACAGACATGCCCGCGTAAGCTAGAAGTATTTGTAAACTGTTTATCAAAAACTGCATAGAGAAAAGCATTCCCATTGTTTTGTTTGTGGCCCAGAATACCGCAGGATATCTAACTGAATATACTAATAAGGCCAATCCGAAATTCATAAATTCGACACTCACTGAACAACCCCAACCAGTGTCTGAAAGGAATTATTATAACATTTACAATTACCTCAGTATATTCCGCTGCTTCAGCGTTAATGTAAACCCCTGAGGCTAACAAATACATAAAAATTCGAAAGAAATCACAAATTCAGAGTAACAGCGTTATTACAAAAAAATGTTAGTTTATTTTGTTACTAATGTCTCATCGTTACTAGAAGAAACTACTTATTCTAAATGACATGAATCGTAATCCAAAAGGAACATAGTAAAATAATCACGATATACCTATGGAAGCGGTACTGACAGATCAGTACTGTATGAAAATAAATAAAAGTAAAACTAAAATACTGATATGCAAGGGAAGAAAAAGTAGGGAAAGAGCGAATATAAAGACAGGAGACGAAAAATTAGAAGAAGTGGCTGATTTTAGATACCTAGGAAGTCAGATAAGTGAGGATGGAAGGAGTAGTAGGGATATAAAGCAGAGGATAGCGCAGGGTCGTGTCGCCTTTAATAAAAAGAAGTCACTTCTATGCTCGCGAACGGTTAAATTAGAAATTCGAAAAAGGTTGTTAAAGGTGTATGTTTGGAGCACGGCGTTGTACGGGTGCGAAACATGGACAGTGGGAGCGGCGGAAAAAAAAAGGTTAGAAGCGTTCGAAATGTGGTGTTATAGGCGGATGATGAGGATAACGTGGGTAGAAAAGGTAGAAATGAAGAGGTATTGGAAAGAATAGGAGAACAGAGGACTCTATAGAAGTTAATAAAAAAAAATAGGCGAGATAGGCTGGTAGGACACCTTCTCAGGCATGAAGGTCTAGTCAGAGACATATTAGAGGCAAAAACAGGAGCTAGGAGGGGTAGAGGTAGACCTAGATTAGATTACTGCTCGCAAATAGTTAAGGATGTGGGCTGTTCTAGTTTTAGGGAAATGATTAGCTCAGGATAGGAAAGAGTGGAGGTACGTGTCCAACCAGTCTTAGGACTGACGACCTTATGATGATGATGATACCTATATGTACTTAGGTTACCCCTTCGTTCACAGATACAAAGATAATAAAATGATTATATTCCGGGCTGGTGTATTTTTAGATAGAGATTTGTACAATTTTCGTCTAGTAACAAGATTACCGATTAAGTTTTATTTGAAAATCGAAAACTTCCTTCAAACTTAATAAAGTTTTCAAACGAGATCTGAACACATTGAATCGCTTTAATTAGATAACGCTCCCAGCAAAAGGACAAACAGATAAACGAAAAAGTTCGTAGCCTATCTCTGAGTCAGGTTGATTGAACTTAAGAGTGTGTTTCGTGTTTAATAAAAGAAATACGGTTTTTCTTATTATGCGAAGGAACTTGAAATAAACTTTTTCCGTAATATTGGGGAAGAGACAACACACGGTTTGTACAATATTTATGATCTAAAGGTATCGGAAATTGAGTTTTTTATTAGTTAGTGTTTGCCTATCTCGGAAAACCTTAATGGCATTTTCGTCTATCAAGTTTTAAAGTAATCAATAAGCTGTAAAAGAAAGTTTAACGTCTCGACTTGCCATTCCAGTTCGATAATGATAATGAAGATAAAGCGGGTTGGGGGTTTCTCAACAAGCCCTTGAGAGAGAGAGAGCAAAGTTAAAGGAATTATTGACTTTTAAGTGAGTGTTTTGGCTTATCAACATCGGTATTAGCATAAATTGCTTGTCATTCCATTTGGAAATGCTCCCTGAATTTTAATTTTGCCAAAAACTAAATTAATACCTACCTTTACATTTAACGTAACAGCTATTAATGTCAAAGGAACTACTTAGCGAGAATTTCTGCCTTAGTATTTGCTAACTTTAGCTGTCTAATTAAGACAAATTTTAAATTCTAAAAATAGAATTTTAGGGCTTCTAATAAGCTTTAGCTTCTCTAAATTGTCATATAGATAACGTTTTTCCCATTAATTTGAAATTTCATATTTTGCAGAATATTACAAATCTTTCACCTATTGATAACAGCAAAGAATCGATTATGCACTTTAGGCCGTAAAAAGACTATTAACAAGTCAATAACGATGCATTTGTTTCAGAATATTTATTTAAGAAGGTAGGTTCATTGTGTTGATACAAAATACACCTTGTGCAAGCCTTTCTAATGATTAATTACTCATTATCAAAACCTGTCAATCTGTAAATTCAATATCAATTATAGTTCGATTACACCTTGGCACTCGTTCAAATCTGAATTCATTTACCAGTGCACAGAACTTTTCCACATTCTCATATTTACGTTTCTGTTGTTTGAACAGTTTTATCTTTTTTGCACCCATCAAAAAGGCATTAAACCGAAACACAAGTAGATTTAAGATAATAAGTATAATGTTATGAAAAATTATTTATTTAAACTATAAATAGCCCAATAACTCTGTTAATATTGTAGTTTTCAGATTTTTCTTTTGTATAATGACCTAATGTATTACGTATATATCTTAAGGCCAGCTTGTAAGTTCTTAAGTCACCTAAAAGTGGCCTAAATTGTTAATGAGAGAGTCAGGGAATGAGTAGTAACAGTACTACTTTTCAAACCTTGATAAGTCGAGTAGATACTGTCATAGATTAACTCATGAAATTTGAGATTTTAGGGGGTTCAGGGGTATTTCTGGATTTGACCTGGAAGCGCACACACAGAAAGCTTAATAGTTTCTTATGCATCTAGCAAGGAGGACCTAGAGATAGCTTTAAATAAAATGGAAGCGGTACTGACAGATCAGTACTGTATGAAAATAAATAAAAGTAAAACTAAAATACTGGTATGCAAGGGAAGAAAAAGTAGGGAAAGAGCGAATATAAAGACAGGAGACGAAAAATTAGAAGAAGTGGCTGATTTTAGATACCTAGGAAGTCAGATAAGTGAGGATGGAAGGAGTAGTAGGGATATAAAGCAGAGGATAGCGCAGGGTCGTGTCGCCTTTAATAAAAAGAAGTCACTTCTATGCTCGCGAACGGTTAAATTAGAAATTCGAAAAAGGTTGTTAAAGGTGTATGTTTGGAGCACGGCGTTGTACGGGTGCGAAACATGGACAGTGGGAGCGGCGGAAAAAAAAAGGTTAGAAGCGTTCGAAATGTGGTGTTATAGGCGGATGATGAGGATATCGTGGGTAGAAAAGGTTAGAAATGAAGAGGTATTGGAAAGAATAGGAGAACAGAGGACTCTGTGGAAGTCAATAAAAAATAGGCGAGATAGGTTGGTAGGACATCTTCTCAGGCATAAAAGTCTAGTCAGAGACATATTAGAGACAGGAGTTAGGAGGGGTAGAGGTAGACCTAGATTAGATTACTGTTCGCAAATAGTTAAGGATGTGGGCTGTTCTAGTTTTAGGGAAATGCGAAGTTTAACTCAGGATAGGAAAGAGTGGAGGTACGTGTCCAACCAGTCTTAGGACTGATGACCTTATGATGATGATGCAACATTATCCCAATTATGCACTTAAAGGTCATGTGGTTCAGGAATGTATTAATTTTCACTATCATAGTTCCACCAACAAGACTGTAGAGAAACAATCAGTATCGTTATCATGGGTCATTACTTAATTTATCTATATTATTGATGAACCAATCTTTGTTCACTTGTATGTATCTCTCTGAATTGCGTTTTACCTATTCTTTGGCCACAAAATATGCTGGAGAAGTTATCCTTGTTTAAAATAATAGGAAATTTATCAGTGGTCTTCGTTATCTCAAGAAAATATTAATAACATTTTGGTTCTTTTATTTTATGTTGATAGAGACAGATAACTGAACACCATAAACTACGTCAACATTGTAAATACCTAAGTCTAATTGCACTTACCGACATTATTGTTAGTGTAATCTTGCTGATCATGCCCCACAATATCCCTTAAGTCCTTCACAAGATCTCCTGTGAGGGGTAAAGCAGTTGGTCCAAGGGTAGTATCATTGGCCGATATGATTCTTTCTTCGTCGGTTGTAGTAACAACTGGTAACGCGGAAGGTAAAACATGACCCCCTGGGGCCGGGGTGCTATTCGTGGCCGTCATAAAACTTAGAACTACCAGGCGATCTTTATGGGCCATCATAAAATCTAGATCCGTGCGCCAAATCGTTTCTGGAACGGAAAAGGAAATATTTTCAATCATAAAGTTAAGCGTGTGTCTAGGATGGAAAATCGCATGAGGAAAACGATATTTGTTTTATCTGTGGAGTTTGTACCAATAAATAAATGAACTCGAACTATATATTTTCTAGATATCGAACTTACAAAACTCAGTTGACTTAACGAATCATTAGGCAGATTTTTATTTAACGATTTACTGTTTGTTTAATTTATTTTTTTTAAAATAATTTTTAAAGGTACGTTAACAGTTATAGGATACGTTTAGAATAAATTTAAAATGATTTTNAATCCTTGTCTAATTCTGTTTCTAAAATTTTCTTCTCTCTGATGTTATTTAAATTGTGTAACTACCTGTTGAACTTTATATAAACTATATATCGCTCTTCTATCCTTAAATCTCATCCCTATACATTCTATACAAGTATTTTCAACTTCTTCCATTCAACACTGTCAAAAGCTTTTTCTAGATCTGAGAATCCTATACATTCGCTCTTTTCTTTTCTATCGTTTTGCCGATTAATATCCCTAAAGCTAATACAGCTTATTCAAACGCTCTCCTGTTTCTTTTAAAAACGAACTGATAATCCCCTAAACGTTCTTTAACCTTCCATCCTTTTCTGTATGATTGTAGTTAAGATTTTTGAAAGCTTTATAGTAACTCGTGATATAAATGAAACAATAGGTTTGTGCATGATAACGAAAGTATGAATAGCATGGTTTTTCCCTAAAGAAAGAGGGGAGACATTCCAATACGTAACTCTGCTCTGTAACTCGAACCCTTTTCAACATTTTAGTCAGTATAGCAGAGGTTCTGTTGCCACAGAAGAAGTTTTACATCAAAAATGCAACCAGATACAACAGGTATTATTTGTTCGATGAGAATGGTTTTAGGTTTTAATGATTTCAGATTTTATTGTTATATGTATTTGTTTTTAATTTATTTCGTAGTGGTTAACAACATTGAGAGTTATCTTTTTATTCATGTTTCAAAAGCTTATTCACTTATCCGCAAGCTTCAACGTAGCATTTTAAAAACCAAGGGGCAATCACAATGCTTAATCATTTTATAATAAAATTATCATTAACTTTTGTATGAATAATAAATGTAAAATGTAAAGGCTAATTTTGCATTCAGTACGCATCCTGTGGTTGTTCTGTTTATATCTTATATTAAATTTATTAAAGCTCTCTTATTTATATTAATTCCAATATTTCTAAGTAAAGTTGGCTGTTGTTTGTGACGTAAACGAAACGAATGTGACTAACAATCACAGCTATGCACGTTCTACCGCGCACCACCCCGCGGATCATTTATTGTCGAGACGTGCCGTGTCCTGTACGATAATGTACATGCGTGAGTGGTCGCCAATTTTTATGAAATCTCGTGGAATCGTAAGTAATTATGCGTTAATTTCGTCGTTTCGTGTTTGATTGACTTAAAAGTGTTAATATAACAAACATTTATTAAGTGTTTTTATAAAAAGCTTCAGTTGAAAAGGATTTAAAATTGGTAAGCTATATTTAACAATTGAATTAACTGTATAAGGAAATATATATTCGATTTAAATGTATTTATAAGGCCTTATTGCAAAAATGTTGCTTTATCTTTTTTATATTTGGGTTAGGAGTGATTTTGAGCTTTACTATAGTTAAGGTACACGAAAATGCACACGATTTAGATGTTCTTATTAACGTTTTGTACCAATATTCAGGAAACATGGATGTTTTCACAAAATTTATTGTTTCGATAATATTCTTTTAGTCATTATCAAGATTATAACGGAATTACTGCAGCTTAAACATAAATGATCAACTATTTATACTGAATTGTATAGAATATGATCGCGGGGGAGGGGGGAGTCTGTATATGATAGTTAAATGGGGAATTGGAAGTATCTAATTGTAATTGATTGTTAATTAAATTTACATTATTATTTCTTTTTAATTTATAAGTTTTTTAGCAAACAAAGATAATTTTCTATTATTGGAAATGCTGAAATCTAAAATTCTTGATCTATCGAGTGAACATTTGTCGTACAATGATCTTTAAAACATTCCAGCATTTAATTAAAAAGAAATTATCATTGTTATTAACAAGGCACTAGCAATAATGTATTTTTATTTGATAATCAATTAGAACTAGATACCCACTTCCCGAGTAAAAATAAAAAGAATTATAACACCACTGAATCGCCTCCAAATATCTGAAATGACCACCGAAATAGTTCCTACACATTAGACGAAAATTTAAATTCTAAAAATATAGCCAAAACACTACCTTTTGAAAAACTAAAACAGCTTCAAACTAGCGTCACATTAAAAAAAAATCCGAAAGAGCCCTCAAACAGCGCCTCGCCAAAAAACATACTATAACAGAACCAAAACAGCATCACATACAAAATCAAAAACTTTAGTATCCCTTTAGTGCTGTTTCGGCACTTTTTTAGTATAAATGCGTCGCTCTTTTGGTGGTATTTCAGTAGCTTTCTGGGAAGCAATCGGTGCTGTATCCGTGTACTTTTCGTACCGAATGCGGTACTGTTTTAGTACTCCATCCGTACACAATCGGCGGTTTAGTCCTGCAAACGGACCTTTTCCGATAATATTTTAAAGAAAATTATGGAGCTAGTTTGATCGTAATTCGGTAGAGTGGAATTGAAAAGAATAATTTTTACTCGGGTTTCTACATCTCCGCTTATCCTGTTTAAGCTTTAATCCTATAAACCCTCTTCCTACAATATTAGTTATTTTTGTAATCCAGTTATTCTCCTGATAGTTGATGATGACCGAAAACAATATTGTAGAGACAATGAATTTTGTGAATACATTCTTGTATTTCCTTATTTCTACATTCTCAATTCCTTGCACTATTGCAAGTTTGACTTTTATGAATAAGGACAGGGACATAGGATAACAGCAGGCAGAAAATTAAAAAAATCGCATCGCCGTAGCTATATAAAATTACTACAAATGATTGTAGAAAAAGTAAAATGAAAATGGACAGACTGAATCCGATCTTTAGTAGATACAGATAGGAAAAGAAGAAAAACTAAACGGTCCGTATAATTTCTTAGCAGGGATTAACTAAATTGAGTTAAGCGCCTTTCGTAGTCCAAGCAATTGCCGGGGTATTAAGTTAATTTTCGTATAAAAGACCGAATGCAGCCATTCAAACCATTTCATGGCGTTAATGGAAGCTTTCGCTGATTTACTTATTCGCAGAAATTGTTAAATTAAAGATGCTCGATTTACTATTGTCATCTTGATTAGTGAATAGACAGGAGGTGGTTATTTGATAGTAAAAATTTGTATGATTAACACAGCTTAACATTTCAAATAGACGATTTCAAACTTTTATAAAACACTGCACAATTAATTTTTCTTTTGGACCAACAATCTTCAAAATTACATACAAAAATAACAAATCTGTCTATTTGACTGAAGCTTGAAAGTTCATAGGTAGTAGCATTTCACTTTTTTGTATTTACAATATTTAAGGTCGTTCTTATTTAAAAAGGATATCTACTATGAAATTTTTAATTATTAATAGTAGTTAAATGAAATATTAATCGTTTTGCCGATTAATATCCCTAAAGCTAATACGGTTAATGAGAGAAAACTTTTGTTGCTGTTGTCCCTGTTGTTAGGGCTTGCAAAACCAGTCGTGCACAAAAGAGACGTTCTTGGTGTAACGGACAGACAGTATTAGGTTACTTTTGACCTACGAAATTCTAAAAAAGGTGGAAGTTAGTCCAAGTAAGCGTAACTGGTTTATGCTAAAACATGATTAATGTAAAGGGGTGTACTGTTTGTGAATAATAACTAGGTTTATTACAGGGTAATCGAATTTTCGTCATGATTGTGTCATAATAATTCCATTAGCACATCTTGTATCGTCTTAAATCTTCAATAACAAACCGCACATGATCATGAATATTCATTGATTTACAGAGCCTAATAATTATTCTGCAAATTCTGTCTGCTTCTTCTTGTAGCAATTCGGAAGCAGTCTTTGCATTTGTCACAGGTATTTCAATATATCAATTTAAAGGCCTCGGCATTCTACGTTCGCAAAAATGAGTGCGGAACGATAGATCGTACGACTCACGCGGTAAAGTCATCAGTAGGTACTCATTTAAACGTACATTTTACATGAACTAAATGAACCTCATATAAGATGACGACATTTTTTATGAACGTTCCTCAACCCTTTACGTATACTTTATTAACAATATATTTAGTGCAATCAACTCGCTTTTCTCTTTAATTTGTCATTTGAGCTTATCTAATCTAATCAAAGACAAAAAGAGAGTCATGTACACGTTGAGTACCAACACTCGTGAATATCGATTGTTTTACTAACTATTGAACTGTAAAATTGATGCTGGGACTTTTGTTAAGGTATTTCTGTGTTTTAGACACAAATAGTGTTACGTACGGAATTAAATGCGCGACTTTATCAGAAAACAAAGAACGATCACGCGCTTTCGAACTCTCTTCTGATGCTGCCGATATGATTCGATCCGAAGTGTGCAAATGAGCGAGCACCAATAAGAGCGTCGAGCATTCAATGTTCGAAGACAAATGAGCAATTTCGCCGCAAAGACACCGCTCATTAATTAATATCCTTTCAAACTCGAGTTAGGTACGAGTTTTCGGAGTCGTTTCGAACGTGCATTGGCGAAACAGGAGCAATGCTTGCGAGATTAATGCACTTAAACGTCAATTTTGACGGGTTGTTAAGCTTCCCAGTAGAATGAATGGCGTAACGAAGCATCAAAGGGTACACACTTTGCTACTGTTGATCGTGATCGTTAGGTGTCTGTTTATTTTTACTCCTATACTCACACATTCTACTATTTATTTGTAAAATCGTAGAATGAAGTTAACTACAATAAAACTTACAATTAGTCAAAATCGACATCATCAAAGGATTTATCATCATCATAATAAGGTCGTCAGTCCTAAGACTGGTTGGACACGCACCTCCA